GTGATTGGAAGCAGCAATCAGTGATGATGAGGAAGGCAGAGAGGGAGGAGTGGATCTTTACCGGCTCCCTTAATATCTCCCTAGCACAGCCTCCAGACCTCCTACTCCCATTGCAACCACCATTCTGGCAGTTGTCTGTGCTCCCACAGCCTGCACCTCAAAAAAAAAATCTCTGAAAACTGTAGCAGTAACTGAAGCCTTCGAAGTCATCAATGATGATTTTGTTTAATCTTTTAAAATCTGTCACTTCAAAAAAAAAAAAAAACCCTAATGGTTTTCTAATAAAAATAGCGATGACTATAATTCACAGATGGTTTACTTTTACAAGAGTGAGAATGACATTAACATTTTAATCTCAGATCAGAACACTCTGCAGCTAGGGACTGCACAGGGAGAGGGCTCAGTAGGAGAATGTTTCAATCTCTCCTATGATGTGAGAGAGAAATATCTTTTTATAAGAGAATTCAGCCATTATCAAGAATGTAGGTGATCTGAACATTTGATCTCATTCGGATGAATTCTTATTTGTTGGATTTGATACAGCACTGAGTATAGAGTAACTTTATATGAATACATTCCATAGAAAAATTAAAATGGCCAACACTTTCCTCCTAGTCCACCTCATTAATAGACAATATGATTCCTGCAAATTTAAAATTCATGTGACCTTGTCTGAATTTTTCTGATAAAGAATTCTAGATTTATGCCCCACTAATCTTTAACAGCAGTAATACCAGAGGACTTAAGGACTAAAATGCATTGTTCAGAATAGTTTCTGAGGAAGAAATTCAGAACACTGCTAAAGGGCTAATGTTATTCTTTCAAGAGAAATGAAACATTTACTACAAACATGACAGCCCCAAAAGACCAACAGAGCCAAACAAATGTGAACATTTCAATGAGCATCTCCAAATCTTGCCAATCCACAAATAAATTATATGGTAGAGAAGTGTGAATGAATGAATAAATGAATGAATATGAAAAAATGAATCAGTCCATTAAATGACTTGTAAAGTATACCAGATAGGTGAATGAAGAACTTTTAAAATTATCTGAATGTGATGGCAGCACATTACCTAGCCATTTCCACAAAGTCTTTAGCTGTGTCTTAGCAGGATACTTTTAATGTGGATTCAGACTTCAATTCTCTCCCCTTCCCACTGAATCAGGTGCCTAGAAGCCTTCCTTACTTTCAAAGCCCTTGGTTTTACTTCTGCAAGGAAAGTTTTCATGGGCATAACTACACCAAAAACTCACCAGGAGCTTTGGGAACTATCCTATCCTTCTGGTTCCCAACATTACACGTGTCTGCCCGTCTAACATTCAGCCGTTCTTCACACGTGCCCTGTGCCCTCACATGCCCACCCTGCTCCTCCCTTGCTATTATCCCAAAAGCACTTTATTTTTCTGCCTCCAAATCTGGCCTCACATGCATATCTGCCCTGTGAAACACTCAGACTGCTTCTCAACCACTCACAGTCTGATCCTATGGAATCTCTAATATAGCCTGAGAAAAATCCACTTTATCTTGCATAGTTACACCCCCTCTAATATAGCCTACATATATGAACTGAAAACTGGATATTTCCTGACAATACTCTATCATAAGGTTTCACTTTTTCTCACTTCCTTTGTCTCAGTAGAGGGAGAGGTCAGCTGAATCATTGCTCTCCAACCTTGTCTTATGTCTACATCATTTGTGGACCATTTTTACTACACTTTTGTTTTTTTCCTTTTATTTCCACCGTCATGTGTTCTATCACTGACTGAAATCCATGACCTATTCCCAGCTTGCTGGATGACTTCTACTTTCATTGTCTTTTATATCTTCCATCCTTGAAGACAATATCATCCATCTCTGACTCATCTTATACCAGGACTTCACAGTTCCGCATCTTCTCTTTAATCAAACTTACCCTCTCCATATCCCTACCACTTGTAAGATCAAGAATATCTCTTCATTTTTTTTCAGAAGATGTGAAAAAAAAAATATATATATATATATACACAAATATGCAATATGATATAATAAGAGAAATAAGAATAATTCATCAAAACCCTACTAGAATTGAAGAAAAGAGTATCAAAAATCTAATAATGAAGGTGGGGTTTGGTTTCAGTTATAAAGGATCAATAGAGGTTGGCCAACAGACAAGCAACAGTTGTATAATCTTCTAAACCCCAATTTTGATTACATTATATTGTCCCACCTCACTCACCAACTACCTCCCAAAGCCAAGCCCAACAATCCATTCTCCTTTGAAAAGTAAGGAATTTTATAGATTTCAAATACAGTTTCAAAATTATTTTTATAAAAGTTAGATCTGATCCCCTTCAATTCTTTCACCTTGGCCACATTGCTCATAGGAAAATGTCCATGTTTTCTCGGGATATTCATCACAATTTGACCACCAGCTACATGCGCAGCCTCTTCCCTCATCACTCTTCACACAGCTGTACCCCAAGATGGTTTGTCATTTTCTGCTCCTTGCCTTTCACATGCTACTTTTTCTGTCCCACATTCATCTTTTCCCACCATGCCTAGATACCCTGGAAAATTCCTGCATATCCTTCAAGACAAAGTGGCCTAGATAACATGCTTCTCAGTGAATCCTACCTGATTCCACCTTGATCACCCCCTCCTCTCTCATGGTCCTTGAACATGATTCATATCATTGTACTGAGCATGTATTCTTGCTGGACTTAGTTATTGCTGATTTTCTATATGATCTCCTTAAGGAGAGGGACTTCCTTTGCGTCTGTAAAATCTAGCAGAATTCTCAAGATAAACAGATTTGTTTTTTGAATGGCTGTTAGAAATGTCACTGTAAGAGATCTTAGTCCTCTAACTCTCTTCCTGCCCAGGGTCTCCTTTTAAGTACAAGGGTGGAACTAGAAACCAGTTCTCCTAGTTGCATTCCATAGGTCTTTTCCCCTTGTATTCCTTCCATATATGCATTTCCCTAATGGTCATTATTGATTCCACCCGTTGTGGAGTGTTGCTGGCTATTGCTCTTTTAGAGTTTCATTTTGCAACTCAGGTTTGCATGAATTTTGCCTTTGGGATTTAGTTTCCCACAACAAGTAACATACCACAGTCAGGGATGAACGGGAAGATGACATGCTCCCTCCTTCCCAGTGCCTGTCTCACAGATTTGTTCTGCAGTGCTCACAGACAGTACCAACTGTTCTTCCTGTTGACTGCCAAAATAAGTCAACAGTCGGGAAGGAAAAAAAAAAGACTGTGAATTATGAAAAATAACTAGGGAGAGAGAATGGCAATACAATGGGGAAAGAAGTAACAACTCTCTATAGCCACCCACCCAAGCAAATGTCTCAAATTTCAACCAACTAAAAGAAAACTAAATGGAGAAGAACATCTGGTCCACCAGAGGCCTCTGAAACAGGGCAGAAGTTGAGCGCTTTCTTTGTTGATCTAACTAGCTAGCCTGACTGCCCTGGTGCAAGATTCACACTCCGTCCCTTGCCAAACTGTGTTTCATTAAGACAACATGACTAAGGGGAGAGTTAGAAGGAAAGATGGGAAGTGACAAAAGATGTTTGAAGTCAACTCAGTTTCCATATGAAAAGGTTCATAAACCACCTCTGGCCAAGCACTCTGAAGACAAGTCTGACCTATAAACCTTTCCAGTACCTAATGGTGTGTATACAGGCGAGCCTCGGGTGTCGTCGTGATGTATGACACGGGCTGTGAGTGTTATTGTCTAATGTCCCCAGCTCACGCCTGGGAGCACACGTTGGTCTTCCTCTTGTTTCAGCGGTGTTCGTGTCGAGTGCTGAGAATATGCTTATGAACATATTACAAGGTTTGCCTAAGCAGTATTTCTTCTTTATCTAACAGAACATCACCGCAGAGCTTCCACCGCACTTTGTGTTAGTATTTACCAGGCTTTTCTGCAATTATTTATGTCTGCTTCCCCTAAGAGGCTGTGAGCCCTTACATTGTAAAGGGCATTCAGTTCTGTGAATTCTTAGAAAACGAGCACAACACACAGGAAAATTATTTTTAAAATGCAGGGCATGGCTTATTGTTGTGTTCTTTTAAGAGTTTCCTTTGGTCGCTGCCTTCATCAAAAAGCAGCACGTTGGGATTAGCTTGCATACCACTAAACCCTTTTTATAGAAACTAATTTGGTGACATGATGAAATTTAAAAATTCTGGAGAAGAATGTGCATCGTATACTTCTGTTTATGCAAAGGTCTAGAAGATTATTGCTCATATATGACCTTGTGGAGACTTTTTACTTCGATGTTGCAGTTCTGTAATTGCGGTTGTATACATTCAACTTATAATAATATACAGTGGAGTAGAAAAATTAATTGAAATGAAACAGTTTTGCATGTTCCCTGTATGTTTTGCTTTGGTCTTTTTGTTTGTTTGTTTTCCTTTCGGTAAACTTAACCTCCCTGCTGTGAGTTGAGGAAAGAAAAGGACCACAAGGGAAGGTAGGGGTCTGGCTGTGGAGTGGGAAAATTCATTCATGGGGACAGTTTTATCTTCTGATCAAGAGGACTGGAGAGAAGACGCTGAAAAGGGTCGCCAATGAACATGCATGTAGCCCATGAACACAGACAGCAGAGTGGTGACGGCCAGGGGTAGGGAGGCGGGGGCTGGGTGGAGGTGGGAAAAGGCGTGGAAAATGGGGACATCTATATTAGGGTCGACAATTTTTTAAAAAGTCAAAGCTAGTTAGTATTTTGCACTACGTGATGCAGCCACCAAAACTGTAGTGTGTAGGCATTTGCAAACGTTGGTGACAATGTGTACACACAGCAAAGATACTTATTAGAACAAAACTTTTGGGATTGGGATTAAACGTGATAGTTTTAAAAAATAATAAGCCAGATGTACTGGAATTAATTCTGTTAGCTTCGGTTCTTCTAATTGTCTTCTGGAGAAGTCTCTTGCCTGATGGTTTTCTCATCAGTGTTTTGGCATCTGCGTGCTGTTAAATGGTCCCCTGTTATTTACGTTTCAGATGGGAGTGCGAAAAGTGTTTCTAAAGTACTGCCATGCCAACCAGCTCAATGACCTGTGCCTGCAGCTGCAGAGAAAAATCATCACCTGCCAAAAAGGTAATGGTACGCACGAACGTATCTGAACTTTTTTGAGTTGTGGGATACGAAATAATTTAGTTCACCCCAAGTTTAAATATCAGTGGGATGTACATTAGAGTGGACCACTCCGTCCATCCTACGATGCTACTTTCGGGCTAGCAGTTTTCGGGGGTCGAGGAAGTATTTATTGTGTCTTGGTTTGCTCTTTACCTGTCTCTAAATCAGCGTATGCAGACACTACACTGCTCATGCCTTATTTGGTAGTAATTTTTTCTGACATTTTATAGCAAATTTAGTCTAAATCACAACTTGGAAGAAGGGATATTCATACCCTATGCTTTATGCATCCCTTCCTTGCAAATATTCGTGCTCATTGATCCTGGCGAGAGGAGTGTACCTTTGAACCCACAGTGGGAAAATCCCCCAGGAGGCACTTAGGTCCAGCTACGGAGCCAGATTCCTAGGCCTGTTCAGTCAGCACACTGGTATGCTGGAGTTTGGAGGACTGGAACAGCTGATTAGCCAGATCATATTTTATGTGCTTCTGCATCTGCAAGGAAAAATCCTTGACTTTATTTTTCCTTTGGGAAGCAGTGATAATATCTGGAGTGTTATGTTTGATGGCAGATAACATTTTTTTCATTTTAACTCTGGGAGAGAGTCCGTTTAGAATTTTTCTTCCTATCAAAACCCAAGTGACCATCAAAAATAGGTACATATTAAAAATCATAAATATGCCTCACATAAAACATACATATTTAATAGATTTTTAATTTTTAATTTGCTTAATAATTTAATTATATATTATAAATATAATTTTCAAAGACAGGTATAAAAGGGAGAAAAATTAATCTGTATGCTAGTTTTTGGTGAAACTTGTAATGAGCTTAGCTCTCTAATTTATTTGAAGCTGTTCAGAACAAGCAAAGACAACTCACAGGATGCAGAAATTAGTTTTATTCTGTTTAAGTCTGTGTCCATTTGAACCCCTGTGGCCTCATCCAGGCACACCCCTCATGGAATCTCCAATGTCTCATCATTTTCTGATGATAAAATGCCCTTCAAAGAGTCTCATTCAGAATTTAACAAGTTCAGTTTAAGTAATGCTCAAAATTCAGCACCTCATTCTAAGTAAAAACATCCTTTTTGGACCTCTCAGGCCCCACAAGTGGTCAGTGGGCATGGCTCTCACCCCTGCCTACTCAGGTGCCTGCGTACCCAGCTACCCTCTAGAGCCGATGAAGGGGAGGGAGGGGGAGGGAACAGAGCAGCTCTTCTGTCTGCCTATAGTCAGTGTGATCTGGCCTGGGGTTCCTCTGGTGCGACAAACAGGTATTTAGTGGGCACATTTCAGCACTTATCTGCACTACCCACCTGAGAACTGGCAAGACCTCTCCTTTGGGCAGTCTTGTGTAATCCCCCCTCGGGCCCTGGGCACCCCATGGACACTCCCTGCCAGGCCTCGATGCTCTCTAAGAAGTCTCTTTAATGACTGCAAGCAGACATCTCTGTCTTAAAGACCATGTCTGGCACTGGAGAACCACACTCTTGAACCCTGACAGGTGCAGCTTCTCCCAGCAAAGCCACCTACATTCAGTGCCTGGCAGCAACCACTGACGCAGCGTCAGTCTTCTCAGGACTCACAGTCCACCATGTCCTCCAGACTCCAAACTCCAGAGTCATATACCAAGTTCTCTGGGTGGTCCCCTAAGGCCACTTTCATCAGCCTGAAGGTTGGAAGCAGCGGGGGAGCCTCGATTTAGGAAGAAGACCCACCCTCAGCTCTCAGCAACTCTGGATTCTCTGTGGGTGATGATAACCTGACCTCCTTAGCCTTCTCCTTCATCAGTGTAGAAAGAGGCTGGGGCCACAGGTCCATTTGGGGCCACACCTTTGCAGTTCTTGTTTCTGTGGTCAGCCCCAACACACCACCGTGTAATCTGAGCACCAGCATCTGGTTAGAAATGTAGAGTCTGAGGCCCCACACCGGCCTCCCGAATCAGAGTCTGTGTTTGTAGCCTCAGCTGAGCCTGGAATGGAGGGGTCCCATATACAAGACCAGAGTTATCATTCACAGAGCTATAGAGTCAACTGAAAATCCCATTTGATATCATATTATATGTACATAGAATGGAATATCAAATTCCCCTGGAAATTTTTCTTAAATATAATTGGGAGAATGTGTACCCTGTTCTTCCATCAGGAGTGCTCACTAGGAATTTCTTTTCTATTCTGTTACAAAGATTAAGTTGCTGTGCCCTACTGACTTGAAGCAGAGCAAACAAGCAGAACTCTTCACCTCAAAAGACAGAAATTGAGGATGGTCTAAAAAATGGCATCAAGATGAAAACCATAATTTCCTATTGCATAAATGAAATAAAGGATATAAAAGCATTTTTTTTTTTAATTATAGGCTTTTAAGTGCAAAGCATTAACTATTGATTTTTTATTTTTATATCTTTTGGAATAGTTCCTTTAGTACTTTTTGCTACCATGAAATTTACTCAAAACTTATATAATCTGGTGTCATTTCTAGGTTTCCAAGGGTTCTCATTTTTTCTTTGTAAATGTTGGGGGAGAAAAGCTGTTACTCTTAATCTTAAATTGAATCATCTTAATCTCAAATTATTATTCCTAACAGAAATTTCTCTCTGATTATGTATGTTCATTTTGTCCTGGATGAAACTTAAAATCTGAATACTGTGGGTGTGATAAAAGCAGTCTTTTAAAATGGTCAGAAAGAGAATGAGTATCAATATATATTTGTAGCAAATTTATTTTTATTAATTGTCCCTTAATAAATATACCAATTTTTGGCAACTGGTGTAACATTTTTAAAGAATTTGAAAAGGTACTGGTATGCACTGTGAGAAAATGGACTCACCCGAAGGTGGGACAATAGCTCCCCGGGTCAACATGAATCTGGTGAATAGCTCTGCTCTAGTTGGAGGTCACAGGAAGTCTGGCATATCCACATTAACCTTCCCTTTATTCCAAGAAATTAAACATCTTGACCCTTCCAAAAGTCAATGTCTCAGGGTTTTTGTGTGTTTGTTTTTTAATAGAACAGAATTAGCGAGGTAACTTGACAATCTGAATTCTGCTTCTCTCTCTCAATGTGCCCATCACATGGTTAACACTTATGCATTTTATTGCGCATTTTCTCTTTCTAGAAGCCTGGTTGTACCTTTTACTGTTTAAATTTTTCCCCCTTAGATTAGTTCAGCATGACTGTTTTACAGTTAATTCAATACTACTGCATTCCAAAGTAACTAAACATTTAGTATTGCCATAGGAAGAAAAGCCTTAAGCGTTTTAGATGCCTGCATATTACTTGCCTCTGAAGCCGTAATTGTGGAAAGTTGTGTTCAGCTTTCCACTTGGTAATCAAGAAAAGGCATCAAATGGATATCATAGAAACCCACACATTTGTTCTTCTGTAGCCATGGACTATTTTAAAGCACTCAATGTTTCACAGCCTTTTTTTCTCCCCTACAGATGAGAATAAAGTCTTTGCTACACACATAGGTTTTCCCTGAAAATATAGGATTTCTTATAATCTGAACAGTTCCTTCTGATCTTAGAAACTTAGAATTGGAAGAGATGGCATCCCAGAGTCAAAAGGCCCAAATGGTACTTCCTCCTCCTGCATCTGTCCGTAGCATCCACGAGCAGAGAGGGCCACTTTGCTTTCATGAACGTGCTCAGGGCCTGGAAGCAGAGTCCCTTTCTCAGGAGCAGCCTGATCCATTTATACCCTGTGCTAGTGTTAGAAAGTTCTTCTTACACCGATTGCCAGCATGCTACCTAGGACTTCCCTATTGGTGATCTGTTCTCTGCAGAGCTACAGACCACATGATGCCTGTGTGGTTGGAGGCTAAGGGAATGAGCTCGGCCTGATAATCAGAGACTTGAGTCCTGGATCTTATACCCATCAGCTGTATTTACTTGAAGGAAGACACATTTAACCCAGAATAAGAATTTACTAAAACATTCTAATCTCGTATTAAAAAGGGATATCTAAAGTCAGTAATGATAACACTAAAGGCAGAAGACCTTAACCTGAATGAGACCCTGAAGATATTATTTATAATAAGGCTTACACATTGTAATAAGGCCTCACTAAGCTTCTCTTTTTTTGTCTACAAAATGGAGATAATGGTATATTAATTATCATTGAGTTCGAGCATTAAGTGAATGGAATGATGTTTCTAACACATGAAAGTGCCTTAATTGTGCTCATTATTTTTATTTTCAAGTCTTATTAACAATTTCAAAATGTGTTCACTCACTTGTTTCCACTAATTCTTATACATTTTTCTAGCCCTGCTTCCCCAAAGAGCAGGAAGAATGTCCTATATTTCTACAGTCTCTTCCAAGAGTCTTAAATGCAGTGTTGGTTTTTCTAGGAGCTAAATAACAGTCTTGTTAACAGTATGTGCATAATGTTTTAAACACTAATTCCAGGAGCCTCAGCATTTTTGTTATAATCTGATATAATGAAAGATAATCAGTGTGTCCCAAAATGGTCCAGTTGGAGCCACACCCCAAAATTCTCTGGGGTTTGGGCCTAGTTCTTTTACATTTACTTTAATCCAGTCTATCAATGTCCAGCCTCTCAAACCAAATGAAGTGTGGGAGCCTCATTATAATATTAATTGCACAATCTCGTTCAGTTTAAGGATTCGTGTCTCTAGTGTTATCATGATTGAATATAGATATTTTTTAATGCAAGGGTAGAATGTTTTAGTACATTTTATTCTGAGTTAAATGTCTTATTTTATAGCAGCTCAGACATAAATGTATTGTGACTTTTGTTTACATGGGCCTGGGTTTTTCCAGTTTTGCTTGTCTCCCTGACCCCTGATTGTGTCCTTTTATGTGGCAGTTGTAAGAGGATTTCTGGCACGCCAGCACTTGCTTCAGAAAAGAAGCATCAGACAGCAAGAGGTCACATCCATCAACAGCTTCCTGCAGATTACAGAGGACATGGGGCTAAAGACCTATGATGCCCTGGTCATTCAAAATGCCTCAGACATTGCCCGTGAGAATGACCGGCTCCGGAATGAAATGAACGCTACTTCCCACAAAGAGAAGTTCGAGGCCAGGGGCAAGCAAGAGGAAGGAACCAAAAGGTAAAGGCAGATAGTGCACAACTTTAATTATCTATGTAATTGATTCAGTGGAATCAATAAAGTTCCGATTGCTCTTAATGCAAAGTTCAATCAAAGATGACAGTATTTACAGGAACTGGCATGTAGGCACACATGGTTCATTCGAAACCTCGTAACAATCTAAGAGGATGCTTTCCCTCTGCTTTCTTCTCATGAAATACATGCTATATGTGTTAGTTTACTCAGATGAAATAATCACTGCTTCACTTACAATTCTTGCATCACTTACCATCTCAAGCACAAAGTGTTAAGGCATCTAGTATTTCTATCTGAGCTGGGTTCTCGACAGCTTCATACAAGTGCCATGTATATAAGGCTGACTCATAGAAACTTTTGGAAATCTGACCAAAAAAATGGAGAAGCCACTCTGAAAACATAAAAGTAGTGAAAGCAATAAATGTTTGTATAGATATTTTTCTTAGTAAACTGTCACGTTTTCTTTGCCAATATGGAATGCTTTGGGGAAAGCCTTTCATTTTAAAGTTCACTTTGGAGGCTTAACTTGAAATAGAAATGGGGGTACCACATGATCCTTCTCTACTGTATCCCTCTTGCCCCTCGGTGAAGGGTGAGGACACCTGTGATTCACAGTACCCCTCCCTGGGAGGGCGGGGACATGGGTCCCTCGGGTCCTAATTCACTGGCAAGGAGATGCTCGTTTTTTTCATAGGAACTTGGTAATATCCAGTTGCTTCTCACTGAAAAATGACTCCCCTTTGCCTTGACTGCCTATGTCAAATGATTTTTTATTAAAGTGGAAATAATGTGTCTCTCCCTAATTAGATTCAAATATCTCAGTGATTAAATACTGAAAAAAAAATCTCTTTGTATGGAAAACTGTAATTAAACATTACAGGGAAAACAAATTATCCACTGAGTGCCATGCTTTCATCTTCAGCTCGTTCATTTTCTACACGGGCGTCTGGCTCTGCCTTGCGGTAGATCCCAGCCGTGTTGGTGCTCTGCCACACAAAGATATAATTATAAAAACAAATGCTCGGAGACTCCTTGTAAAATGGATGCATTGGCATCTCAGTAGTACATGATTACATTGACATGTGAAGCCAGAAGGAATTTTTTTTTTAAACCAGATAACTATTAATTTTCTATGACTTCCAGAATAATGTTTGTTATTTTCTCTGCTGGGGCTAAACAGCCACCCCAATTTCTCAATCTGATTATGTGTTCGTTTGCCTGATATAAAATTAAGTGTAGAAGTATTTGTCTATTTATTTGTTGAATACCAGCAGTTTACTTGGCATTGGACAACCAGAGGGAGTTTCAGAAGAGAAATAATAATTCTGCACATAATTAAATAATTGCCAATGAGGTTTAAATGGTTAGGGGAAAAGAGAGAAAAAAATGTAAATCTTGGATAGTTTTAAGTATATGCTGTTTTGCGAGGGGAAGCTGTGATGAACTCCCAGCATTTGATGCATCAGTAACTCTCTATTAAGATGGATTCTCCAGAAATTATCATTCAGATTGAAATTCTGGTTTTTTGATTTGCTTAATAATCAGAGTGTGAAAAATGCATTCAGTGAATGCCTGATAGAAAATGTAGCACTCCTTAAGAAGTGTTGCCTTTGTGTGAGGTTTTCTTTAAAGTCATAATGATGACTGTCCACCGTGGTCCTTTATCATGAAGCAGGGCCGGCCGGATGGGGCAGCCTCCTCTGGGTGCTCAGATCCTTCAGCCCCGGGGGAAGGCTGTTTACCAAAGAGCCTGCGTTATGCTGGTGGAGCAGGTGCATGGTAACCCCTGGATAACGCATCTGGGCCTCCTGGGGGGTGCTCTTTGTGCTCTGTTCCCCTCAAGGACTGAAGACAAGGGCGCCCCCAGGCACTTCCACTTGGGCCCGGCCCCAGTCCCCGTGGCCGTGGACAGCCTGGCGCAGTCCCTGGCTGGCTCCTCCACGCGCTCGCCTTCTCTGCACTCGGGGTTCAGCCTGGATGACAGCGGCGGCCTCCCCTCGCCTCGGAAGCAGCCTCCGCCCAAGCCCAAGAGGGACCCCACGACGCGGCTGAGCGCGTCCTACGAGGCGGTGAGCGCCTGCCTGTGGG